CGTGAGTTTGCCTAGTCGTTGATCGAGCTGTAATACATTACAGTCATTTTTCTCTAGTTATAACATTATAAAATAAATAATATATTTGTAACAATACATAGTTTGCCTCAAGTTTGCTGGCAACTGAATTGTTTGTAAAAGAATCCTTTTGTATAATAATAGCTATATCATTAAACCGTTTAAAGAGAAGTACTTTTAATTAATTCTGTAGAGATTTAATTCAGGTTTATAGGAAGGGAGGCGAGGGATTCGCCGATCAGTTTTAATTGTCCCGTAATAAAAGGAGACTTGTTCCTCCGCTAATTGTCTTTAATAATCCAATATGTTTCAGCAGAAACTAATTTAGAAAGTCTTTTCAACTTCAAAGGAATCGGTCTTTAACTTTATCTAAATTACAGGGAGAGTTTTCCTTTGATTTTTTTTTTTTCCAATCTCCCAGAATTTTGGTGGGAGGCTCAAACCATCAAAGACAGATTTTCTTTTAAATAAAAATATACATACAGTTCAATTATAATAAAAAAAAAAACTAGTTCAACTTTACATGAAATATTATTTATGAATATCTAGATGAAGCTTCTATTTTCTTATGGAATACAGATCAATCATATAAGATAATGGTTAAATTCCAACAATCATTTCTTTCACGCTTAGGTATTTACGGACGCATGTAATGACCCCTTACACAAGATTTAGTTTTTAAAATAGACCAGCTATTTAATAAAAATAAATTAGACTGATCACTCGCTCATCCTGCTTCGACCAAAAATGATACACAAGAAAATAGCTAGTCTGATCATCCACATGACATTTAAAACGATTTCAGACAAATTAAAAGAAATTAGTATTATCCATTTAAAATCAGTGCATCAACTCCAATACGTTGTAGGTTTCTATTACAGGCCCGATGAGGTTGATTTTATTTTAGTTTTGAAGAAAATTTAATAATTTTTTTTTTTTAATTTTCCGAAATGCATAAGAAAGTAACAAAATATTTAGAAAATTTGATACGATGTAACTAGTTAGACTGGTCTGATTGTGATGATTTTTTTTTCGTTTTGTTCAGTTAGGAATTTTTTATACTTTTCGAATGATAAGATATAGAATATATCATGCGGTGTATACTTTTTGAGTAATCTCTGAAAAATAATTTCTTTCTATCATAACAGTTTTTTTTTTTGTGGAATACACACATGAAACTTAGAAGGGCTTTAATGTGAAGACTAAATGTAAATTCCGTTAAAGTGATCTTGGCCTCCTCAATTATCCTTTTTCATTACGATATTGTATTTCCATCTTCTTCGTATTTATCTCTACTGCATCCCTCCACCTGCTTCTTCATTCCAATCAGTGATACTTGTATGATATAATAAATTCTCAAACTCACGTTTTGACACTATGGACTATAGGAAAAAAGTTTTGCACCAATTGAGCACCCAGCGCAAGGGAACTAACCATAAAAAAAAAATCAAACCAGCAGTTCGAAACATAATCGTGGCCAGACAAAAAGACCAATTGCTAAAAATGTGTTTTCTTTCAGCAGTATTGCCCTGTTGCAAATTACCAGATCAAGACCAAGACTGGAAAGAAAAAAAAAATTGATTAAATTACTTTTGTTTAAAATGTTTGATTAAATTTGACGAGTGTCACAAAAATTACCTAACCGGCACTTAATACCATTTATTCAGTTATGTATGTACTGTATTAATATATTGAATTTTGCATTGATGTTGGGACGAGAAGTGAACAAAGAAATTTATTAAATTAGGAATTGTAACTTCAGTGAAATTTACCCAGTCGGTGGGCGTACGCCCACAGCTTTTCCAGTTGACCTTTCTCGATCTGCTGTACTAATAAACAATTTTCACTCTCCATCCTACTTTCAGTAAAAATTAATATATTTAAAAAATATATTTCAATTAAACATAAAACACCCGACTATAGAAATCGGGAAATGTTATCCACCATAACAGATTGTACTTTTTATTAATATCTATTAAAACACCTTGGTATTAGTCCCTGGTACAGACTCCTTTTTATCAAATTATTAACATCCGCCTAAAACTTCGTGAATAGCTTCATCTCATCGTAACCTACAATTATTTTATTTACGAAAATTCTCGAAATTCGGGCGTTTTCAATCTGGAGATCGGCAAACTTTGTCTATTTAATTAGGTACTAAGAACCCAAAATATCCATTTGCTTTCCACTTGAACCGTAAGATAATATGATCACAAAGTCGAATAAAAAGGTCGTCTACAAAATATTGGTCCATTTAGACGAAACGGCCCAATATTTTTGTAGGCCACTTTTTTTTTGTTGACGTGATCATATTATCTTATGATTCAAGTGGAACGCAAATGGGCATTAATTGGTTTTTATTACCTAGTTAAATAGACAAAGTTTGCCGATTTCCAGATTCAAAACGCCGAGAATTCTGTAAATAAAATATTTGTAGGATACAATGAGATGAAGCTATTCACGAAGTTTAAGGACGTTAATAATTTCGTAAAAAGGGGTCTGAACCACAGACTATTGATTGTTAGGGAAATTGATTTCTACGAATATTTAAATTTGCTACAGTAGTCGTGTGCCCGAACGAAACTCAAGACTTTTCAGATGTTGGCATGCACAGGAACATGGTATGAAAACTACTAGCCAGAAACCGAAATGTGGAGTAAAATGTACCCGGCTTCCACATAACATTAAAAATACTTACATATCAATTTCTCCAAATATAGGTTTTGAGCCGATACGGAAGAATATTCCCTTAAGTATTGACAGGAATTCCCGATTAATGAATGAAGTCGGGTTGTTTTTTTTTTTTATTGTGATATTCGTCTTTATTTTTACCTATTTATTTTGGCTCAAAAATTTAAAAAAAAAATTGAACATGGCACAGAGTCTAAAAGAAAATCTACAAGACAGTAAAAGTACAGTTAAAAAAACTTTAAGGTTTTTAAAAGCGATAAAACTCTACAACAGAGTGTAATTTAAAGATGTTCCAATGACCCTACAGGGCAGAGGTAACAAAACAACAAATAAATAAATATTTTGGTTCATTATTGAAAATAATGAACCATTGTAATCGAAGAAAAAAATCAAAAACTTAACCCCCTCTCAAATTTTGATTTGATTTTGAAATGAAAATGAATCTTTATAATCGACCAAAAAATTTAAAAACTCTCTCCCCCCCTTCAACTTATTCCGCGCATTTTCTCCGAAACTAGTCAACCGATTTTTTTTCAAATTTAAATTTAAAGTCACCCAAGGATGATCCTCCTTCACCGACATTACTATCCGCCTTTTCCTTTCAAGATGGCGGTCGAAAAACCTACTTTGCTATAGACTGTGTCACCTAACAGAATGTACTGATTTCAATGAAACTTGGCTAAAGTCTTCTTCTTGAAGCCCTTAAAATTTATCTATTTAACATACTTCAACGAAAAGAAGCTGAAAAAAAGTTACGAGGGATAGTAAAATTATATTCCAAATTATTCAAAAAATATAAACTTTTTTGTTGATTGTTATTTAATAGTTTACAAAATTTCCTAAAAAACAAAAAAAAAAAAAAAAAGAATCGTTAAAATCGGACTATTTGGAGCAAAGAAATGGTCTCTAGATGTTTTTTATATGTTTTACTGCAAAGGTTATATCCTTTGTTTTGGATTTTTATTTTCGAATGTGTTACTGAAGTAATGACTTTTTTTAAGCAAATTACTAATGATTGAAAAAAAAAATGTTTAAGCCAATAATTGGAATCACCTTTTATCTCTTTTTTCTTTGTTACTGGGAAGGTAATGTTACTTTAGATGTATAATTGTTTGAACCTTTGTGATATGACTTGCAGCGTTTTTTCAAGTCTTGTCGATTCATACTCAACACAAATGAACATTATTTAATCTTATATATTTTAACAAAGATATAAAGTGGCACGATATAATAATATGGAGCCTAAACAATTTGGGAATATATATATTCTTTTTAATCAGATAACCTTTATTCCCACCTGTCAAAAAAGCATTAAAACCCGTGAAATTGATGTTTCTGATAGAATAGAAAACTCAAATTGTTTCAAATCATTAACGAGACCTCATTGAGTAATTTGAACCATGTGAGTACAAAATAGATGGACCCGTTTCGTTCGCACAATAAGTCGTTATATACCTTTTAACGACTTTGAACCCAAATTGTTTCAAAACACTCACGGGATATAATTGGAAAATGTAAACCATTAAACTTAAAAATCGGTACACCTGTTCGCTCAAAGAGCCTTTACATAAATTTTAGCGATTGATTAAACAAATTTTATCCAATAAAGTGTTTTTAGCTTGAAATGTTTCTAAACACTGACGAGATCTTCGAATAATTTGAGCCATTAATCCGATACAGTCATTCGCTCAAAAATTGTTACATATCATTTAGTGGATTAATTAAAACACAAGGATAATTTGAACCATGAAACATCAAAATCAATGCAGCCGTTCTAAAAAAAAAAATCTATATTTTTCCAACAGTATAATATAAACCTGTAATTATGATCTTATTTCTAGAAATTTGTTTTAAACTTATGAGAATATTTCTTCTATTTTCTCCTTTAGTTAACGATCAAATTCTTTCATAGCATCCATCAATCTATCATATCCATTTTGCGTTACTACTGGGAATGATAAATCTATGATTATTTCTAATAATTGAAAGCAAAGGAACTACATAGAATAGAAGAATCAACTTTATTCTGTATTAAAGTCTCTTGAGAATAACAATATTGTACATAAAAATTAACATAACATCTGGCCAAAATGCATATTACACTAAAAAAAACACAGAAAAAAAACTAAAAAATAACAGAAGGATTTACATAACTATACTGATATATTAAAGACATAATATGAGCAATAAGGTCCTAAAACTGCAAGATAGTTACTAAAAACAATAAACTATGTTATTTTAACTGAAATTTGAAATGAACGACAAATTACTTTTGTTGTCATACCATTGTATTAATGAAAAAACTAATAATAAAAGAGTGGAGAAATATTTACTTTAGATGATTTATATATGTACATTAATATGTTCAAAGAATACAATAATAGTATTGTAAACATTACTGTACATAGAGGAAGAAATTTCGAAAATTCTGCATTTAAACCTCGTTTCACTAAATTAATGGAAATAAAACCTTATTAATAGTAAAGGACATTTAATTTTATATCGATATAATGAGTTTAACCAAAATAGTTCTAGCCGTTAAAAAAAAAAAAAAAAAAATGAAGAACGTTTAAAATCGATTATTTTAAATATCATCTTTCCATCCGGTGAATTTCAATCTAAAAATTTGCTGTAACATCTCGAGTGTACACCTTCCTTATACAGGATAAGGATTTCAGTGTGGGGCGTTATTTTGTTTGTTGAACTTAGTTGTTCATAAATATCGAGACCATTTCGCCAGAGTTTGTTAATTAGGCTCAGGATACCTTGAAACATGTATTTGCGTTGAAAACTCAGATTAGACATTTTTTACGATCACAATATTTACATATTACACGCATGAATAAGTGACAGTAAAATTCTATTAGAATAATAAGATTATTATTATTTAGTTGACAAATATTATTTCCGTGTTTATAAAGTTTATATTTAAGTACATTTCGTATGATGTTTCGGGAAATGTTCTTCCTATCATCAAAAACATGTTATTTTCAGTTGCTAGTTGTTCAATTTTTTACTTTTGTCAATACATGTAATTTGTATGTTAATTTTGAATTATTATACATATTCGGGAACTATACTTTTGGGTGCTTTAGGGGAGTGTATATTGGCTCATGTTTTCTGTTGCAATTTAATTGTATAAATCATTTTATTTTAAAAAGAACATATGTTTTTATTTAGTTATGATGTGAACATTTCCCGAAATGTTAAACAAAATATAACGAAGAATAAACTTTAATGATAAATAAGTTATAATTTAATTGATAAATTTAAGAGTAAAACAAGAAACCTCCTTATCTAAAAATAAATTTTAAATAAAATTATAATAATTTAGTTTTCCATTTTATTTCACTATAAATACCAGAAAAATGTTCTATAGGTATAACTATTATAGCTGATCAATATGTTATATGTTTATGATCAATTTATTAAAAAAAATCAAGAGACCATAATCAAAAATATCATACTACAGTTGATGCTGACAATTTAAAATTTAGAATTTACTCGATCGGAATGGAAAGAGCGGATGTATTCAAACAGAGAGCATTGATTGCGAATCTGATCCGAATACTCTTCATTATCCAGAGTGCTCTTAATCCGGATTAAAAAAAATCCCCAGCTTTGTTAATATACCTCCCTCCTACCTAGCGCTTCACGTCCCACGTTGCCTCATATCATTTTGAATATTTCCAAATCATCCCCTAATGAACACTCACCATTACAATCATTAATTAAACATTCAATGTAAATCTTTTCGGTAATCTCTAATAACTCAGAACTGCTAAGTGTATACCAACAATAAGAATTAAAAAAATATATATATATTGAAATTTATAACCCATGTATGCTTATTTGTTTTAGGTGAAGTATTTTATAATAATGTAAAATAATCTGTGTTTTTTTACTTCACCACATGTATTTCATTTTTACATCGGCTACCTATCGGCTTAGAAAATGGCTTAGTAGCCGAAACGAATATTATGAAATTTATAGCTGTATTAACTAAAAATAGGAGGAAATATGAATCGGTAAAATGACATGGACTTGTAAAGAAACTATTATCCACTGGAAGCAATCCAATAATAGTTCTATATTAGAAGGTCCCAAAGCCATATTTTTTTTCAGAGCCTAGGAGCATTGCCACGTATCGAGGAGGTTAGAAACTAGTGGTTTTGGATGGACCTATTTATTATGGAAGAATAAGTATCTGATTGGGCTAAATTGGCAATATATTGAATATTAGGTGCTTTGTGGGTAGTTTTATTTGTGACAAAGTAAGGGACACTGAGCATATTGTGAAAGATTTTGAATTGTAAGGATTGGATACGAGAGGAAGGTGATGGTTTAATGGAGCCCCAAAGCTAAACTTTGCAAGTCCGAATAGGCCTTATTACAAATAGTCAAGTAAATGAGTCTTTAATAGTATTTGGGAGCTTATAAGAGTGCATATATGAGTGTCTAGTAAATGCTGAAGTAACCGAAAACGTCTAGCGGTTTCATGTCATATTAGTCTTGTTTGAGAATTCTAAGCTAGACATTTATCCAGGTGTTATCTTAGGATCTGTTCAGCAAGACTAAGCGGAATATTATCATAGGACAGAAAGGCATAGGTTTATGATGAAGGGAGAAGGTTATTTGATGAGATTCGTGGGAAATTATTATAATCCTATAATTTTGACAGCATTCTTCAAGGTTTGTGATACGTGACTGAAGGATTTGGGAAGCAATAAATGGGTCACTAATACATAAAATTAAGTGAAACTTGCGATCATATTTGTGGCACAAATAGTTATCCCATTGTTTGATCGCAAAATTTCAGCATTCATATTGTGCAATATAAGATAAACAAAAGCTGTTAAAAGTTCATCTTGTTTTTTCAGCATCACAATGTGTTGATAGTAATTAATTTATAAATTGGTAAAATTTGAACGCATCTTTCTATATCTTTGTTTTGAAATTTTCGATAATATTAATGAATAATGCTCTAAAATTGCAACAATATGAGAGTAATTCTAAAATTAATGTTAATAATTTATATGTTTATGTTTTATGTTCATAACGATGGTTCAGCAACCATAAGTAGTTATCAAATAAATGAAAACTTGAAAACATTTTTAAAAAAAAACTTTGAAAAAATGTATATATATATATATATATATATATATATATATATATATATATATATATATACATATATATATACACATATATATATATATATATATATATATATATATATATATATACATACATACATACATTAACATAATTATTTAATTGGGAATAAGGTCACTTATTAATTATTCAATAAAATACTAAATGTTCATTGCTTCTATGTTTATTCGACGTTTCGATTCCGTTTTTTTTTTTTTTTTTTTTTTTACTTTCACTTACGTATATATGTAATATATAGTAACGGTAAGTATTGCGATCGTTAAAATTTTCTAATCTCAGTTTTCAACGGAAATACATGTTTTGAGGTCCCCTGAGTCCAAATAACCAAGTGTCGCAAAATGGGCTATGTGTGTGTCTGTGTGTGTGTTAACAGTCTAGCTCATAAAAGAAAAGTAGTGCGAAACTGATATTAAGTATTTGAGGTTTGTATATGGGCCGGATGTGACAGCAACTTTTTCTTTAAAATCGGCTAACCGGAAGTGCCACTTTATATGAACGCTGAAACACATTTTTACAATTTTCTCAAAAACGGCTCTAACGATTTTGATCGAACTCGATGTATCATTTTACAATTAAGTGGTCTTTAATATCATTATGTATTATCCCCGTTGGTGTCACTTTACAGGGCTTAAATGCCCAATGTTCATATATGTCTTCCTCTAAAGTACCTTTAATATGGTTTATTTTAAAAAGTTAACCATTTCGCATTATTCAGAGTTATAACAAAATGCTACAAGTAACTTTTGAAAGAATTTGATAAGTTAATAAAGGAGAAAAAAAAATACAGAAAAACTATAGACTGTAGCGCCTAAACGAATGTACCGATTTCAATGAAACTTCGCCTTTAATGAAAGTCATTTTCTCGACACCCTTTAAATTTATCTATATAACATACTTCAACGAAAAGAATCTGGAAAAAAAGGGATGTTAAAATTAAATTTCGAATAACTCAAAAAATATACCCTTTTTGGGGGATATTGTATATTTTTTAAAAAGTTTATGGAATTTCCTAAAAAACCAAAAATAAATCGTTAAAATCGGACAATTAGGAGGAAAGATATGGTCTCTAGTTTTTTTCCCTGAAGAGGCTAAAATTTGGATAAATTTAAAATATACTTTTTTAATTGTTGAGACTAAAAAAAACCTTTTTTCTACAGATATTTAATAAAGTGTCTTTCCTAAGAACATCTTTTATAAGAAATAAGTACCTAAATTTATACCTTTATTCTCAGTTCTATATTTCAATACTGCAATCACCACCTCTGGAATCAACTTTCTCATTGTCTGCGTAGATAACTTTTTCAACTAAAAATATCACTAAAATGACATCACCCAAAAATGTTGAAATTGGAGTTAGTCATTCTATGGTTTATAAAAACAAAGAAAGTTGTGTGGTTTATAAAAGCAGATGGAGTGACTAGATTTTTATTGCCTGTCGTCGATACATTAAATAGACATTTTGTAATTATAATGGTCTTAATGACTTGTTACCTGTAAGCTTTAAGATTTAGCTCCGTTTAAAATGCACTTCAAACATTTTATAATAGCCCAGCATTGCCAGGAAATAATTTCTATTCAAAGGAGATCGGTAAGTGAAAGTTGTGTGTTGCGCGCACCAGATTTGTTTATATAAGTTAACAATGAGATGCTCTTCAAAGTGTTAAAACAGAGCCTCGATACCTCAGGCCAGGAGCACAGCGACAGCCTCAGCACGGTCCACCAGCAAAAATATTAAGAGTACCTTAATGGCTTTAAAACATATTTGGCAAAAAGTTAGACAGTTAAAAATAACGCTAATTATTAACAATTATATAAAATCTAAATCTTTTATGGTAACTATTAAAACATCATTATATTTTTGACGTTGTTGTAAAGACAGATGAATAAAGAGATGATGTAAAAAGGGTGATATTATTTTCTTGAAAAATATATTATATGATATAATAAGTAAGTAGGCTTGAAAAATAATACTGTGATAGAAACTTAAAATATATCAATACTAATTAATATATTAGTACCTATTCTTGTTTTGACAAATTCAACTTTACAATAAAATGAAATTACACATGATACGACGAATCCTGTAGGAAGTTACTCTTTTATTGATAACGGGCAAAAATTTATAAGTAGGTATATTGGAAGATATCCTAAATTAATTTTAGTTTATTGGGACTTTTAATACGTAATTAATGAAGACAAATGGTAATACCTTTGGAACATTTGACAGTTTCCGGAAAAATGTGCTAGTTGGTAGTAAGTTGCTTCAAAATATTGTAAATCTGGCCGCTACAATCCCAGAATATATCGTCTCCACAGGGCTCTAAATAACATTACC